GTACACATACCCGCACCGAAGGAATCGCTGGCCAAGGCAAGTGCCGGTGATTTCGTTGAAGTTGCGTGAGAATAGACCGAATCCTACTCGACTACCTGAAACAGCTCGTTGTTCTCCAAGCAGGACGGTACTCCAGTCACCAGAGCGTAGTTCGTAAAACAATAACGTCTGGTGCCGACGCCACCTGGCCGTCTTCATTAGTAATGAAGTATGGCCATCCTGCTCTCTAGATTTCAACTTACCTGAACCTCAAGATGCTTCCCAATTAAAAAAGAACCTGTCGGGTCTCCAATCTCAGTTTGGTGTCATAGAAAGCAAGACGCAACAACTGCCGAGAAGAAAAATATGAGGGATACCTGCGTGCAAAATGCGACGAGTTTGAGAATAATTGATTGTGAGATACAGTTTAGTTTGTAAACCGACTTGGGGCTTCTATCCGTGGGTTGGGAAGGTATTTTGTAATGTGACTGCAGCATATTGTTGCACATAATGTACATAAGTAAACCCTTATGTAGATTCAATTGTCAATCTCGGCTCCGAGGCTTAGCACACGTTGCAACGAATGGGTGCTCATAATTTTGGGACACCTTGTGTAAGCAGTACTGCCCAAAGAAGAAATCTGGTAAGCATCAGAAGACTGCACAGAAAAAATGTGAGAATGAGCTACTTTTCAGCTCTAGTCAAAATCAGTCAAGTCTGAAGGGGGGTAGGGGAAGCATTCACAGTCCTCTTTTAAATGCGCCTCAACTGTTAGAGCTCCGCAAAGAGGTTCTGATTTGTTATATCTGCGAAGAAGAAAATGGCAAGGGATGGGTCGATGGTGATATTTTGCGACGATGGTCAAGTAAGTGAGACCCAATGAGTCCACAGGGTGTCGATGAGCACAACTACACAAAGAGAGATATCTGCGAGGAACCGAATTACATCTCTTTTGAAAAGTTACAACGGTGAAGAGTTTGCTTACCATCAAGACAACGCGGCATGATCAGAACAGCGCAATGTCACTGTCACTGTTAGAGGCTGGCCTGCTCGCTCTCGTCATCTCAAGTCTACGGAGGACAACTGAGACTCTTAACTTTGCGGAAATCAAAATAAGGGAAAGTCTTATGCCGCAGGTGTAGACCTGAAGATTAAAAATCGCCAGTCAAGCATGGTCCCGTTTGTGTGTGCACTCTCAAGAAGTTCCTCGATCCCATGTCGAATCAAAACTTCAAACTCATTCTGAGCACATGAACTTAATGATCTCTAGAAGACTGTAAGTAGTTTTTTTTTGAATCGAAGAGCGTCTACACTTAGAGGATGAATGCAACAAGGACGTGTCTGCTACCGTGGGATTTGGGCAACGAGTATCCACAATCGTGGAACCAAAAATGAATCGAGAGTGCCGGGGATGTTTCTGCCAACTGCTGCACGAAACGAACTCTCAAAGATATCTAGTCACGGGCAAAATGGTGTCATATAGTGAAAAGATGAATAGCGTGATTTCCAAAATGTTGATTCTGCACATGCAGATATACCGGTCCTATTGAAAAAAATTAAAAGGTTAGGGCTTTTACCGATGACCATCCACGTTTAATGGCACAGTGCACGATAATTTTAGGCTATCTAGTTTTAGAGAAATAATGAGACGATATTCTATAATAGTGCAAAAGTAACTCCCGGTTCACAATCCCAAGGCCGTAGAGGCAATTCCATTTGGTGCTGCTCCACTCACGATACCTCCTTACTTCGTAACATTACGTATATTGGTGTTCGCTTTAGGTTTTTCAGCTTGAGCTTTTCAGCTTCTACTTACCGCTGGAATCGACCGGTAAATCTTTTGTGATGCCCATTGCAGGTATTAGTCTCTCTCTGCCTACACGCAGTATCGATAGTTTGTATTTTGGTGTGTATCGGATTTCTCTATACAAAAAGGAAGGAGTCAAGCATTGTAGTAGGTTTCTGAGCATGTTTATCTCGAAAGCAACGTATGAAATGCTCCAAGGTCCCCATTTGATTTTTATAGTTAACATATTTAGTGCTTGAAGTGGTAAAGTCATCTGGCCTTCATTAATCCCGTTTTATAACCTGCTGCTTTGTTTTGTTTTGTAATGGGGCTCTAATGCGAGTTTGTAGCGTTTTTTGAATCGTATGTGGTCTAAGATATTGCTTGAGGTGGACATCGTACGGTGCGTCCCAGAAATGTGGGCGATAAAGTTAAGGAACTTCCGGGGTAGAATTAGTTTATTGACTTCGTTTACCAGCTGCACAAGTAGGCTCTCTTGGAAAACGCATAATTACTGAAGTATGATAACCGTAATCTTCGAAAGGGTTAAGGCTCAGTGGCTCAAGGGCTCCAATACTCCTTGCAATCATTCGCATACAAGAGGCGGAAGGGCAAATGAATTTTTCGTGATTTTGATACTTATCGCACAGAAGGCTGCAGGAGAGCAAGAACTAACGAAATTGTCGATGTGGCGATAGTTAAGCAGAAGCTCCATTGCCATATCTATCGTGGGCAGAAATGCCATTTCATTTCCCATCTCAATATTCAGTGTAGGGCAAAAACATGCAGAAGGTTCCTAACTCAGCTCAGTGGGGACACGCGTGCCTTTATCGCTTTCTTTGACGAGTAAACTTTTCACAACAAAAACAATCTTCTACAAATAAAGCGTTCACGTTTTGGATAGAAACGTCGACATGCGATCTCTCTTTACAAAGTGTTTATGAAAACAGCAAAATGATGTTTATTGGGGAAGTCCTTGTCAATGTTAAAAAGGCGTTGGATCAGTTGATGTCGGCGTGAAAATTGGCAAAGACGTGTACTTAGGGAGGATACTGATAGACGTACTGAAGCATTGATCCGACTCTATCCTGTAACAGCCCGTGGTCCTTCCGAGAGGGCGATACTCTAGCCCACAGACAAAGCTCAGTCAAGAGTGTTGCCGACGTAGGTTGCCGATTTCATCACCATCAAGGAATGGCCATTTTACTCTCCAGATCTCAAGCCAATTGGCCCCTCTGTATGGTCCCTTATTAGAAGAGAACCTGATGAGTTGCAGTCTCAGTTTGCAGCCCTTAAAAGCGAGACTCAAGAACGGCTGGAGAGAAATGGAGGGGGATACCTGCGTGCAACGTGCAACATGTGAGGAGTTCGAGAACAGACTTTAGGCCTCCAAACGTGCTAGTGAGGGATAATTTGAAAGGCAATTTCAGCCATTTGTTGCACATAATTCAAGCAAAGGTGCATATAGACCCCATTGTCATTCTCAGCTGAGAAGCTTCAAATACATTGTGATGAACAAGAAGCCTCATTTCTGTTACATCGTGCACAATTCAATGCTTCAAGTCCCCCATGTCCAAGCCTACTCAGCGACAACGATGAGTTGGATACCTTGGTTGCCATTGTCATGGGTACCGTTCCGGGGCTATATCTCTAGACCATGCGTGTATTTGAAGCGTGAAGCGCTCCAACTTTCTATACAGCCACTTGGCCAGTTCGAGCTGCTGTGAACTATCCCATTGACATCGAAGATATTTTGTATGGGTGTCAACTACTCAGTTGATGTCGTAGATTCTCTATCTGGTTATTCACAAGGTTTTGGCTCTTCAAGCTTCGTTCTCCAACTGTTAACCAGCATTAAGGAGACGGAACAAGCCTCACGAATTCGTAGCTCGGACGATACCGAGAGGCGAGAGAAGAGGCGGAGCTTCTGTCACGGCTTCACGAGCCCAAAGACTGCGGAAAAGTAGTGGCTCCTGAACGTGTAGCAGCTTCGTTCGTTAATTGGAGGGTTGATCGCATGATTTTGACTAGCCAGCTTACGCAATAGCTTGTGATGAGGATTCTCACGAGTAGGGCTGCCCCTGTGATTGAAGGCCCAACAAACAGCGAACACGTTCTCCCTATTTCTTCCACTAGAATATTACTGTACTATTCATACTCGGCTGTTTTAAATATAACCTGTCTTCTTTTCTGCTCATATTAGTCTGGAGAACATGCTTCTTATGAAAAAAAAAATACTTCGGTGGCATCTGAGAAAATGGTCCCTGTTATTGATTTTCCTTTATTAAAAGTACTATTCAGATACTTGCTATCTTAGCTTTCGTGCTTTTCTTCAATATTGTCGCTGCGATTTTGCTGTTCATATTCCATGGTAAGGAGAATAAGGACAAAGCTGCTTTGAACGATTGCGGGGTAAATCTTCTGATTTTTTCTAGTTACGAAATTTGGACCCCTCTGCTTTCAAGGCTCCCAATTGCACGAGATCCATTTAAGTGGTGAGAATAGTTAGCTCGCCTCAAGCTGAAACATATATGGCTCCACGCAGTGTTCGATTTTGAGCCACAGTATATCCCTGATGATTCTCAGATACTGGCTTTCACGCAATTCATTCTTGCTCAATGCAAATTCGAAACATTTTCTGTGTCATTTGTAATTAACGCCTAATTTCAGTTTTTGTCGACGGCCATGATACTTGTTGTAGCAGGCATTGGTGTCCTCTTCGTGGTAAGGCCGCCTTTAGGCGAACATAATAAACCGAGAGAACAGCAAATAATCCCACTCCAGTAAGTGTGCGCTGTCTTTTAATGTAGTCGGATCTTTTACTGAAAACATGCTTAACGGTCTGATGATTTCACCTCAGCAATGTGTACCTGGGCAAGAGTATCAATCGTCTAGGGATAGTCCATAAATAATATTAAGTCATCTCATTCGAAAGCACACTGACATTCGAAGGCAAAGGAGGGAACAGAAGTGTTGGTCCATCGACACTGTTTGATCGGAAGATTGCACAATTGGCTAAGTCCGGCTCTACTTCGTCATCCTGGCCGCAGGCGGAAATATTCAAAATCCGAACGAAACATGATCCGCCAAAGTCGGATTTTCAATATTGCAACAGTATAGTTGTTCTTACGTTCCACACTCACCAAATTTGCAGGGGCCTCCCTCCTACTCAAGGACAAAACAGTCTATTCGGGTCTCTGCCGACCCTAAAGCTTCTATTCTGCCTTTCTTACCATAGAATCCTCAAATTCCACAGCATAGCAATTATCAAAAAAAAATCTCATAGGGCTGAATCACCACTTCGAAAATTTTTTAGTGCTGTAATACGGCGAAAGTTTCGATAGGAATTATTTCAATTAGGATTTGAGAGATGCTTGGTCTCCTAATCTCTCATTTCACCGATTGGCTTACCCTTCAANAATCAAAATGAATTACTGTTTATAGATGAATGGGTAGAAAATGGCGAGAACAGTTTTTTGGTTTTCCTTTCGTGCAAATGTAGCACAAGCCTTTGGCTTTGAACTGATCATTCGTTCAGAAGCCGATTTTAATGCACATTTTTTCCAGAATGAGGAATAAAAAGGGAAAAAATGAGGTTAAGTTCTCACTATGAGCGCTTTTTTCAGAAATCAAGGTGCGCCCCAACATGGAGATAATGAATACTTCGACCCCCCACGTTAGTTCCGTGAAGAGAAAGTGATACGACTTTTTGTGATTCGATACGCACTTAATCTATTTGTATAATAAAGTTCTATCGAAGGTGGATTGGGTTAACGCTAATCAGTTCCATTGTATGCCCTGTATATATCCACTTATGTGACACCAGTCGGGCCGCCTGGCTAACTCCGGGCTTCCCTCCTTCTTATGGGTTCGCCCGGCGTAGCCGCTTCCTGTGAGAAATTTGCTATGCGTAAATAACACTTCGAATTCTACTTTTTCTTTGAAAGCTCTACACCTTCAGTATTAGCTCCGAATCAGGAGCGACTTTCTCTGTGAGCCATCTTCGCTGTCTCCGAATAGAACATCGCATAATATCACAAAGGCGATTATTCGGAGAAAAAAGTATTCAGAAACTTTATCGCGGCTGAATCTACTATGTTAGCTACCATCAATGTTCCCAGCCAACTCTTTGTGCCTTCAAGTTTCAACTTCAAGTTTTAGTTTCGCTCTAGGTCCATTTTGACATTTCTCTTCAAACCCCGCCCCTGAAGGAGTTATGATTTTCCGCTCAAACCCCACCCATTGTGGCAGAGTCTGGTCCTGCCACCCACCATGTATGTTCCCATCCTGCCGCCTGTGCTCGTGCCAAATTTGAACTTTCCAGGTCCACAGGGAAAGGAGTTATGAATTTTAGCCCAAACCCCGCCCACTGTGGGCGGAGCTCAATCCTGCCACCCATTACAAGCATCTTGGGTACTCCTACCAAATTTGGACGCTCTAGGTTCACGGGGACTGCAGTTATGATTTGCTGCATCAACCCCAACCCCTGGGCGGAGTACGGTCCCGCCACCCACCATTAGTGTTCCTATCCTGCCGCCTGTGCTCCTATCAAATTTGAACTCTCTAGGTCGACGGGAACCGGAGTTATGAATTTCCGGTCAAACACACACACACACAGACAAACCAACAGACACACTTAGCGCGTTATATATAGTAGGATCTTCTTCTCTGCCCTCCTCACTACTTCTTTGATGCTCTTAAATGCGCATATCTCCATACTGCGCATCTTCTTATGCCCAGCTGCGGAATTAGATGGTTCATCATATTGACTTCTCGACTCAGGTACTCGAAACTAGAGCAATTCTAGTTCGTGCTATAGGGCACGAAAGCTCAAAGAACCTATCTCTTCCACAGAGATACATCTTTGTCGGGTTTTGTCGCAGGTTTTTCATTCCTTCAGGAGCTTCATCACTCGGATCACACATTTCTCCCTACCACAAATTGAATACCGTAATTTAGCGTGGGAGAGACTCTCGCCCCTTCTTATGTAGAACTTCGAAGCAACAGCCACGTCAGTCAGAAAAACTTCGAATTGATGTGGTCTACTTCATTGTGAAACTGCTCTCTAGACGAGTCAGAATTCCCACTCAAGTGATAGTGATTTCCACTCATGGCTTTCTATGATCCCGCCATGACTAAATAAGGTTGTCCAAAAAGGCTTTGCCAACTCGAATTTTTTCTGATTCTTTTTAATCGCAATAACTAACAAACAACAAATATGCGCACCATCAGGATTGACAACATAAGGATAAAGGAAGAAGTTTCGCGTTAACATCACGTCTAAAAGACTCTCCCCTACACTCAACTTCCTTTCAGAATCGTAGTGGCATAATGAGTTCGTATGTGGCCTATACAATGAGGTGGCCAGCCGATGAACAAGTCAGTGTTTTTATCCTCCCATACGCGTCTGGTAACAATTAACCGAATCCGGAGGGATTGAATACTTGGTTAACCTGGGCGAATATCCATCCGGGACAACAATTGCCATTTATCGAGCATTCCGCGGATCCGGCTTGAATAGAATCCCTGGGGTTCGAGGAGAAGAGCTTGTCGATAGACCTCTAGAGTTAGTTCGGAGCAACTTTGTAGTTTTCAAATGGTTCTATAGCGAGAGGAACAGATGATAGTTTCTCAGCGACACATCTGTGAATACGGGAGATTGGCAAAACTTGTCATCCCAAGCTTTGAGTTTCCTCTGGGTCTCCATCGCAATGCGTGGATGATAATTGCCATGTAGCGCTGCTGCTGGTATAGATGAGCACAGTAGGCGGTGGCAGTTGGATTTCGCTAGCAACAACTTCCACTGCACACTCTCTTTCAAACCAAGTGCTGAGCGCTGCCGTCATAAGTTGGAGTTCTGTTTGGGGTTGGAGTTCCATGCTCCGCAGTCAAACCATTGAAGCTTCCTCGTGTTGGTTATGTAGAGAGCCCGCTTCTCTCGCCGGCGGCTGAGCCGTCCAGTCATGCAAAGTCCAGGCGTGAATCTTTCCTCAGTTGAAGCTGGTGACAGCGNTGTATCGCGATGGCTATCAAGTTCCTGTGCCAGATTGCGGGTACTACCCATTCCACCAGCTTGAAAAAGTGGTCGTCATTGAGCCCGTCTTTCAGATCGTGGACTTCCAGCCAAGTAAAAGTGACCATTTTTGAGATTGGGATACTAATTTCTAATAGTGCTGTGGCAGTGGAGGGCCTCCTCGCATTACACATGTTCCCTGTCGCACACTATAAATTGACGTTTTTCTAAACTCATAAAGCATAGCAGTTTTGTTCGCTTCGAGTCGAGAGCGATAGCCATAATCGTTACAAAATGCTACGACAGATGGCGTAAAGGGCGCATTGATGCGCACTTACCTATAATTCGCAACGAATGTTTCAAAGCAATCTACAAACATTTCCCAATTTGGAAACGAAAGTGCACGAAGACTTTCCCGGCAACCTAACGTTTTCTTGCACTTTTCACGAGGTTTGTATATAGCCCTCCGTAAGGTGACCTTTTTTCGGACTCGCCTTCTCTAGGACCTGAAAGTAATAATTTGTGACTATCCCATCAAACATCTCCACGGCCCTGCTGAAATCTCTAACCCCCCGTGCGCCCATGATTTGAAGGAGGGCCACTGACCACAGCCTTGTGCATACTCCGAAACCACTCACCAATCGATGTAGCAACAGATCACCAACTGATGTAGGTCTTCACTCGAAGTTACTGCGGAAAGGTCAACCTTTTATGAGGCCATAACCTCGCGTGATTGTAATGGATCATTTCCTCCGATTCATTTTTGGATTACTGATCTGTTTCTAAAACACCTTGAGGGTTGAATGCGCACACAACTGCGATTCTTTTACTCTCAAAAACGCCAATTATGATTTTGATTTCGGTGATTTTTTGAGATTCGCTCAATCGGTTCACATTACCTCGTTGATTCTCGTCCCGTTCCGTTTCTTCAACATACTCATCACAACAATCACAGCAAGTGCTTTTGAAGACCACCCCAGACATGGTACAATCACCCTCCGTACTTTGTGGTTGTTATATAGGCGATCTTATAGCCTTATTTTGAAAATGGTTCTTTCTATAATTGAAGGGTCTTGAGTTGTTGGTTACTGTGGCAGCAATTTTTTGAACCCTCCTAAGACACTATCACACTGACCTCATCAATGATAAAGCTGGAAGGGAGAGCTCATTTATTGAAAACCTTTTCCCAATCAATGCAAGCTTTCGGCTAAGGCAAAGTACTGGATACCAGTCGCACACGCAAACACTACTGATATTGGTGGCTTTTCGCCAGCGGTTTATCCCCATTTCCGCCACTTGAGGACGCGCCACGTAGCGTCGCCGCCATTAATGTGATTTGATGTAGCGAAATAATCCAATAATCACTGAAGAAATTGAGGTCTACTTGTTAATCCAGCAAAACTTAAGCTATTTTTCGGTCATGATTTCCAAAATTGATCACTGTACAATGGGACCGCGCTGTTCATCAGAGCTGAAGCACGTCAGAAACTCAAGCGCTATCTATTCTACTCATAATTCTTCGGCAAACATTGATAAGCTTGCCTGTGAAACCCTCGATTAGGAGTACTTTCTTCCCAGGAACACGGCACGGGAAGGTTACCCAAACAATGCGCCTGTTCATTCTGAACATTTGGATATTCCTAGGAGGGCTGAAAAGCTTTCCATGATACGCTTAGGAAATATCATTGTCTAGGGTGCCAAATAGTCCCACATATAAGAAGGAATGTAGTGATATCTCTCAAGAGTGGTGTATATAAGGATTCATCCTCATCTTTTGTTCAGTTGTCACGTTTGCTATTCTGATATATGGGAGGGGCCCCCTCAAGTGTGGCAGAAGATCATGCGGCTCAGGTCAGCTCTAACTTTCTTTTTCGCTTTGCGACAGAAGTTTCTGTCGGGTTGCAAAACAAGCATTTCCTGGCTACATCTCGCCACATCGGTGTGCAGAAATAGTCGAAGACTCAAGTTGAGATCGGTGGAGAACTCGGCGATTTTGATGATGTTGTTTCCCTTGGAGCGGAGTTCAAACGAATCGAATCTTTCAGAGCTGTCTCAACGTAACCGTCTTCTCCGTCGACTCAAAACGAATCTGAGCTTGGGACACTGACATTACATCAAAAACCTCTTAATTGGT